TTCATATATCATGCAGAGATATATGAATATATATGATATTTCATATATCATGCAGAGATATATGAATATATATGATATTTCATATATCATGCAGAGATATATGAATATATATGATATTTCATATATCATGCAGAGAACAGTAGGTACAGGTTCACTTTTGTATGGGTGAGACAGACTGTACCATGCTCAATTTCTCCGTGTGGAGAAATTGAAGCTAAAGAAGGATTATCCATCGCTTAATGCCAATATTCTGTAGAATCTTTTCTGTTTCAGAGTCTCAGAAACTCTGTATGAAAGTACAGCTGAAAGTGCAGATGATTTCCTTGGCTTCTGAAAGGGAATAATGGTTTATTCACTTTAAGGCTTTGCATGACACAGGTTTGCATGATGAACTAACTGCACACACACAGCATGCTAACTTCAAATGTGGTTGCTCTGTGTGTCGTGCAAATTGATAGTGGTTGGCTACTAATGGCAGTCCATGGACTTTTTTTTTTAACAGCATGTTTGGTAGCTGTTTTAAAAACTAATTTATTTTTAGATTTGTGTGTGCCTTCAAGTCAGTTTTTCACTCATGGCGACTGTCTGGACTAGTCCTTGCAGTCTTATTGGCAAGGTTTTTGGAAGTGGTTTGCCATTGCCTGCTTCCTAGGACTGAGAGAAAGTGACTGGCCCAGGGTCACCTAGCTGGCTTTGTACCTAAGGTGGGACTGGAATTCATGCTCTCCCGGTTTCTAGCTTGATGCCTTAACCAGTACACCAAACTGGTTCTCTCTGTTTTTTTATTTTTTTAGATTTATATATCTTAATTGATGAAGATAACGATGCTGATGCAGGTGAAATTCTCTTATGTATATAGTCTCTGACTTATCTGTAGCTTGAAGGAATTGGTTTAATGAGATAATAATAAAACATTGATTGGCAAACCGCTTATGTTTTGTTGCCAAGCAAACAACGGGAGCCAAGTTCAACTTGAGGGAGTTTTTACTTCAGTAATAATGTAGCTGGTCTGCATCTTCTCATAAGAATGTATACTGTACTAAATATCTTGAAGGCTATTATTAGTAACAGATACCTCAATCATAGGAGTGTTTTCGCAAGTCCCTTTGTTCTCTATGTTTTTGTAATGCCATATTTACCTGAAAGGAGGATGATCCTACATTTAAGAGGAAGAGTAGACTGGGAGAAAAAGAAACATGGATAAAAGTCTTGTGTAATGTCCATCACACAGTGGGTCTGTATAGAAATTGCTATGCTCAAGATAGGGGGAACATTGAGTCATTTGATTATTGCTTGCAAACTACAAAAATTAGCTTTTTTAAGTGAAATTACCTTTTTCAGTGTTTCTCATGCAAAGGGAAAAGTAGTTTCCTCCATTCCTTGCTCCTCTAATTTGGTAGTGTGTTCTTAATGTTTGTTTTTTACTTTCTTTGTTATTAAGCACTATTAAATGTTTTAACTAGTTTTAAGTGGTAAATATGGCATTTAAACCAGTTTCTTAATCTGAATAATCATTCTCTACAGTGATGCCCCAAAAAGATTGGAAGAGATAATTGTGGTTTCAGGCTGGAAGTGTTAAGTGCTGTTTGTGACCATAACTATGGTTAAGGTTAACCAAGGTTCCAAGCTGGGGTTTCATCCTGTAAAAACAACTTTTGATGTGTGTTTTTCTTTCTAGATCTCACTGTCTTATCAGGCTATTTAAAAAGGAAGTGGTAACAAAAGCACAGTAAACTACTGTAGTTGCTTATTTTAACTTCAGAGATAATGAATTTCTTATGTACTATTATTCTGACAGAATGTGCTAAGAAATACTGTAGTTTTTCCAAATTTGCAGTAGAGCAAATCTTGTCCTTCAAATGGCAAAAGAGTCTTTGTCCAATTTCAGAAGATTATCTGTTCCAAAAATTTGTCTAAAGTTACAAGAATAATACAAGTGGAAGCTTGCCAGGGAATATTTGAAAAAGTTCTGCTAGACAAATGAACACTTAGAGTTTACGCGACATTTTTTATGGAAGAGACTTTGGCAATATGTGGCAAGTCACATTTCATTAGCTTGCTTAACAGCCCACATTAAAACTTCCTGTTACATTTGTACAGTTAAGAATTACTACTATCGCATAGTATTTCCTACTTGTAGTTGTGCTGAATTTTTGTTTGTTTATGGACTGAAACCCAAGTATGCAACTAGGTAGTTTCCATATATTTTGGACTACAACTTGTGAAGTGTTAGCTGTGTTGCTGGGGCTGATAGCCAAAGTGCAACAATGGGTGAATGGCACAGAAGAGATGGATTACCCCATTTGCAAAACCTATTTCCTATATGGACATAGCATTTCAAGTAGAGAAGAAATATCTAACACTAAAGTCTATCATATTACCAAATGATAATCCTTACCCTTCAGATCTGTTGGGACCACAGTTAATAGAATTTCTAGCCAGCATAGCTGGATTTGGTTTTAATACATCTGAAAGGGAAGGGCTGATTCATAGGTGGCCATGGTCTTTTGGAGGCTTGATTTTTAACTCTTTTTAAGGATTCTAATCCAATGGATAGAACCATGTTTTATTTCTGATACTGATTATGCAGTGCTTAGTGATTTGAGTGAGTATACTTATATTGTGATGTAAATATGTTTCATAAAATAATGGATAGGAGTTCCATTCTTTTCCCATCATAAGAAAAGATTCACACATGAAGGAGCACTTTATGTGACAAAACAATAAATAGGTCTCAGTGAATCAACTGTCTTCTATTAAAGTAGGTAATGTATATTCCAACAGTGTTATGTATGCCAGTACATAGTGGCTTAGTTCACACATACAGTGAGTTAAGTCATAACATTATTTGCTTGATTCATTGAGGAAAAGTTGGATTTGATTTAGAGTGTTTTGTGAATCCTGCCTTTGCCACAGGCTAGTAACTACATTCACCAGGAAGTATCTTATGTTTAGCCTATCTTGGTTGATTTTAAAGAAGAAAGTGGCATAGTCAGCTTTGGTTAGTATTTTGGCTGGGAGATCATCAAAAGAGCCAAGAGCTATAGATTAGATTGGGAGGCTGAAAAAAGTCCTGAAAGTAGCAGTGGAAAACCACTTCTATATTTAAAAAAATGAGAGTAATATTATTGAAAAATTGAACAGGCAAGAATCTGATTTGGCTGGATTATCCAGCAAGTCTATATACTGAAATACAGTATATGTAGATCAGTTGACTGATATGATGAATTACTTCAGACTGATTTAATATTAATTTCTGCAGTGAGTAAATCAGTAGGAAAATGAAAATGAACAAATGGGTTGGACTTACAAGTCTTTTCTAATATTTTATTTTCTTTAGTGTACAGAAATAAATTAAAAAAACAAAAGAAAAAAGGCAAAATACAAAAACATATTACCATATATACAGAAAACACTCAGGTTTTAAATGGAGCCTGAAATCTTGACAATATGGAGGAATGGTGATCAGTCCTGCCATTTCATCCATAGAGAACCAGTTCACAAGCAGACAGTGAAGAAACTTCACTGGTCCAAGACTGTAAATCTGGAATGGCAGTGTTTTTTATTGATTATTTATGTAATTTGCCCCATGAGCCATACTTTTCAGATATTGATAGATTCCACATTGGTGTTATATAATTCAGAATCCCGTTGAAATGTGTGAACCGTATTACTCTTCCCAGAACTATATTAAGAAATTTATAACTCTTAAACCAAAATGGGACAAGAGTAGCAATCCCATATCATATTCATATTTAGCCCCTCTATTATTTTATACTTCTGGCATAATGAAGTTGCTCCTTAGCCTTTTGTAAACATTTTCAGAGAGTTTGAACAAAATCTTTTCTGAATTAATCCCAAGATCATAAGAATGCTTAATATTCTTTAAAACCCTTAATTTATTTCTTAATATGGGGCAGTATTCCCTTACTTTATTCCAAAATTCTTATAAAAAAATACCCACTTTAATAATACTCTTGAATTGCTTATACTGTAGTTTTGGAATCATCCTGAATGTATGTTAGTGCTGAAAATAAGAGTTTAGATGCAGCCAAATTGTGAAATCAAAAAACGTGTCCATTGTCTAAAACAGCACAGTGGCAGTATACTTAATATAGATTCCTCTTGCAAGAAGTCAGACTTGTAATAACTCAAAAACTTGATTGGCAGTCAGCTGATTCAAAGTATTAGTGCCCCTGTATACATGATACAGTTATACACCTCCAGGCCTAGCGGGACAGGTGATGCTATTGTGATGCTGGCCGAGTGCCTGGAGGCTGTAAGAGTTTAGATGGGGAGAATCTGGCTTTGACTCAACCCTGGCAAGATGGAGTGGCTCTGGATTTTTGGCCCCCCAGTCCCAGGTGATATTTCATCTGTGAGTCTGGATGTGTTGGCACTCTCCTGGACTAGCTGGTGCACAATTTTGGGGTCCTCCTTGACTCATGGTCCCTGTTTGAGGAGCAGGTGGCAGCTTCGGGCAGGGGGGCCTTTGCACAGATTCAGCTTGTACACCAGTTGCTCTCTTTCCTGGACTGGGAGGCCTTGGTCATGGTCACTCATGCCTTGGTCATTTCCTGAAACACGCTCTACATGGAACTGCCCTTGAAGACCACCTGGAAGTTACAACTGGTCCAGAACATAGCAGTGCGCACAGTGATGGGTGCCCCTAGGTTTACCCCCATTATACCCTTGTTGCACGAGCTGCACTGACTCCCAGTTTTCCTTCTGGACACAATTCAAAGTGCTGGTTATTATCTTTAAAGCGCTACATGGCATGAGACCAGGT